TGGTTAAATTGATAGATGAAAACATTGCCGATTTTTGCCAACATGTTTATAGTAATATTGGTATTAGAATCATTTTTTCTCCATTGATATAAACATTTCCCCCCCCACAAACATATCAGTCGTACTCTACCTCTAATAATAAGGTTTGGGGGAGTTTACAGTATCATCTAGCACCTATCAACTCCTCACAATAGTATTTCTGTAGTGACTGAGTGTGATATTAAGTCTTAAGTGACCTTATATGATGTGTTTGTGTTAAAGGTGGCAGTGGGAATATAAGGACACTGATATAAGGACAAGCAGCGTGTGCAGACAGACACAATTGCACATTATGGCACCATATCATGGCAGCATGGTGAACACATGATAAGATAAGATATATCTGAGGATCCAGTTCTTCAGGGTCAGACTGTAAATGGTTAAACGCTGCACAGGCAGCTGCAGTGAGTGTTGGACTCTTCATTATGTATGATGCTCTCTGTGTTTGTGTCAGTGCAGTGAGAGGCTGAGAGCAGTGGTGTCTTCAGGTGGAGGCTGACACCGCCCTGTTTTTATTCCTCACACACACACACACACACCGTTGCAGGTCTGAGGCCTGAGCTCAGCCGACACCTTGTTTACAGCATGACTGCACGTAACACACGCACGCACGCACACGCACGCGCGCATACACACACACACACACTCAGCCACACACACGTGCAGGAGTGGACACACACACGCAGGACAACAGAACGCATCAGTGTCAGTCACTGTCCCTCTCTGCTGCAGGACATCATGCGGGACATCGTGCAGGACTATGGACTCGAAGCTAACACGCCACCACCGTGAGTCCGTGCGCACTGCTCACCTGTCAGTCTGCGCCAACGACGCGCCGCATCCACGCCGCTCCGCAGTCCGCGCCTCCAGGTGTGTCTGTGGGTCAGAGGGACAGACAGAGGGACAGAGGACACACTGTAGGAGTCGGTGTCGGTGTTTCGGGGAGAGAAGGGCTCTTGTCTGCTCGGACTCTTGTACACAGCTCGCGGTTGCCATGCGGACGCAGTCGCACAAGCACCAATCAGCTGCGGCGGTGGCACCCGGAGGCCACACCCACTGCACGAGCCCAAAGATCAAGCAGAGGTGGATGATCTGATTCTGTCTGAAGCGCTAACACTGCTGGGAAATACAAACTTTACGACCTCCAGATATAATGGATTCGTTCAATCAGTTCAGTGCTGCGAGACAGATTTTTATTTAAAGAAGGTATATAGATGAATATAAAGTGTGTATAGTGTGTATATATATAACTGTAACTCAGTTGGAAGTTTGTTTATTCATTTATGTATTTATTTCTAACTGGTCTTAAAAGGCAACATCACATCATCATCCATCAGTGACTTCTTTTAAATCACTTTTATAGACTTGCTCTCATGTGATACTGTGATTTTATCATTTTCTTTTCACCTTTTATTTGACTTGGTCACTTATTTCTATTGTCATTTCACAGCTTTTTTACTAGTTTTAATTTACTTTTCTTGCTTTGTTGTCAGAGCACTTTGTAAACTCTGTTTTTAAAAAGTGCTATA